AAAATTTGAAATTCCAAAAATTTTGGTTTCAACAAAAATGAAAAATTTGGAAAAACATAACCCTTTTGTGAAAATTTTTGGTTAAAAGGCTATTTTTCATCAAATAAGTCTAAAATGATTTTTTTTTACCAGCTGTAATCTAAACTGCTATGGAAGGAGCATGGCAGTATTAATGGCATACAAGGAACAGATGCTTTGGCTCATAACTTGGTTGCAGAGCTGAAGAAGATGACCAAAAGATTTGTCACACAGATAGTGGGGGATTAGAAAAAGATTACATCTAGAATCAATTTTTATCTGGATTAAGTATCTGTCCCAGTCGCAATCCCCCTTCCCCACAAGTCTCATTACACTGATTAGATTTATATTGGCTGGGCCACTGATCCTATGTAGGACTTGGTGCAATAAATAGATGCAACTTCTTTCTTTTTTTAGTGTGTGCATAGTTGTCCAGCCAAGCAATGGCATCTTCAGTTCTTCTAGGCCACCGCTGAACCTAGTCAGCAGGCATTCATTGACAATGTGCGTCATCGTCTGTGTTGCGCCGCAGCGGCACAAAGGGCTTAATATTTATGTCTCCTATTAAAACTTCTTAAATTCCATAGAATTTGGCCACCAGTTCAGGGCATTCTCCAATATGGGGCGAGCTAATGGAAGTGGAGTTCTGCCCTGACAATAGAATATATACTCTATAACAATAATAATGATTATGCCCAGGAACTGATTTTTCAGGGTGGTGAGATAACTGGATTACAGAAGTGGTAGGGTGGTGGTGAGGAAGGACCAAAGATTCACAACATTAATGTAATTTTCTGGGGGAAATTCTTGTTCACTCATGCCTCTCTGAGTAAAGGTCAGTCCGGTTAAACCTCCTCTAGACCACTGGTGCTCAACCAGGGGTCTGGGGCCTCTTGGGGGGCCGTGTGCAGGTTTCGGTGGATCCACCAAAATAAACTGGGCTTCAGCCCAGGTGGCAGGGGCTTAGGCTTCAGCCCGGGTGGGACTTGGGGAGGGAGTGCCACTTCCACCCCGACTCACCTCATTGGGCCACCCAGCCTGTCCGGGTTGGGGAGGGGACTCAACCAAAAACTGCAGAGTCACTGCAGAAGAGAGATCTCCCACTGCCATTAGAAGGGGTTGCCACACAGCCACTGACTCCATGAGCAGGCAGAAGCTAGCCAAGGAGATACACCACTGCTCTGCCCTGCATCATCAGCACTTCAGGGAGCAGGGCCAAATGGGAGGCAGAAATCTGGAGGGGGTCTGATTGGGGGTCTGCAGGTTTGTCTATTTAAGTTTAGGGGCCCCGAATAAAAATAGGTAGATAACCACTGCTCTGGACAACAGAAAAACAGGAATAGCTATTATGTTTAGACAGATAAACATAACAGTAATAGTTATTTTGTAGCTATAGGAATGGTAACATAGCAACAGTGGCAATAAGTGATGTCTTCCACCTCCAGCTTGCCAGGAAACCACATGTTTCATTTCATATATCTAGGACTGAAAAGTTGGAGACAACATTGGCTCCTACTTTGCTTCCAATGTCAATTCAAAGCATTGGTCTCAGTTATGAAGGCTGTGAATGGGTTAAAGTCTGGCTATATCAGAGACTATTTCTTCATTTATGATCCACCCAAAAAGCTGAAGTCCTTCAGGGTAATGCAGCAAAACATGACCAGGGTGAATCTATAGAGTGCCAGAGATTTTCTGCTAATGACCCTTGTCTGTGGAGTGAATTACCAGAGGAGACAGGACTTAACTTAAAACTCAGTCATTTCTTAAATTTTGCACATCACTAAATCACCACCATAATTGGTTTCCTTGTGTGCAGTCTTAGTAGAGGCAAAGGAAAACTGTCCATTCATTTCAAGAAATGTTCCCTCCAAAACATTTTACAACCCATATTTTCCAGGATCCTCCCTATTTCATTAGTGTGATTCTATTTCCTCTCCTTGTGGTGCTAGGATGTTTGCAGCAAGAGGAGGGGGACATGAAAGATTGTGATATAATGTTTTGATGCAATGCGATAACTCTTTCAGCCTGTGTGAGTTTCAGCCTGTGTGACTGAATGCTACTGGCCCGGCCAAGAATCCAATGGAGTTTGGCCAGTCCCAAGCCATATCCAATTACTATTTTCATCATTACTGCGGCACCCAGAACAGGCATCCAGAACAGGCAGCCACTGAGGGTTCAGTCTTATGGTTGAGCTGAGGTCATGGGAGGAAGAGAAACTTTGCCTGTGGAAAGAAGGTAGACACAGGGTGATATTATTTTCCTCATTGCTGCTATGAAGTGGTGAGCAGACTGGTTTGGGGGATACCCCGTTAACAAGGGAATGGATGGAATGTTGGAATCAGAAAATTTCAGGGCAGTTGGGGGCTTGGCAATTGGGAATGATAGTTGGGGGGAATGACTGTTGGATTGGCTATTGGGAATAACACTGGAAGTTGGCTGTCGGATCTGGCAGGTGGAAGACTGGCTACTGGATTTGGTAGTTGAGGGAATGGCCATTGGAACCAACAGTTTGAGGGTTGGTTGTTGGCACAGGCTGGCTGAGGAGAGCCGCTCTCATGATGAGGTCCTTCTGGTGGAACAGAAGAGCTGCTGATGGTTAAAGTAATAAGAAGTAGCATGTCCCAGTGTCTTATGACACAATATTCTATGACCGTGTCTCTCTAATATCCTGGGACCAGCACAGCTGACTACAACAACACTGCAAACCAGTGTCTTATAAGTGTGATGAGTTTTAAGAAAAGGAAATATTTCAAAATAGTTAATGGTCACAGGAGAGGGAGAGAATAAGATATTTATAGAACAGGGAAAGGATTATAGGAATGACTTATGATGATTAGGGAACAAGAGACACATTTCTGTGGCACTTCGTCTTCAGCCTTCTCCAGTGCAGCTCTAGTTAAGTCTCAAACATACAGGCGAGTCTCATCTTACGAGGGGGCTCCGTTCCGCAGTTAGCGCGTAAAGCGAAAACTGCGTATAGTCAAAATTACATTGAGTCGAATGGCAGGCAAAATCGCCCACACTACAGGTACAGTATTAAAATTGTTATTTTTCTCTTTTTTTGTTTTGTTTTTGCCGACCGCGTAAAGCTGAAATCGCGCATGTTTGCGCGTAAGATGCGACAGACCTGTACATACCCCAGCAACCTCTGTATCCGGACATCCAGTCGTCGTCCATGAGAACCTCAAATGAGGAAAGGATACATAATGGTAACTGTGGGATGGTGAGAGTGAAAAATCTTTAGCTACAATCAAGACAAAACACTTTGCAATCTATGCACGAGGAAAGCATGGAGTGTTTTTCATTATTTTGAACTTGTTTATGATTCACAGTTCTTTTTTACTCATTGTAGAAACATTTGATTTAACAAATGTCTGGTTAAGAATCCGTTATTGATTTAGGATATAGTGATCAGTATGGATAACTTCTATTCCAGGTCTGCCCAGCTGAAGGTCAGTAAAGCCAAAACTTCATGTTTCCCTGCTTTCCTCTCCCATTCCTAACTTTGATGCTTACTGTGGGCAGGTGGGATTGGTTCACATAACCATTATCCCAGCATGACCTATTAGCAACTCCAGTGCTTTACACAGCAGCTCTGCAACATTTTGAAAGTTAATTGTAGAGCTGAAAAAACATGAAGGAGCATGGTTCTCTGATGAGTAATGATTATCCTGAAACTAAACAAGCTGCTATGTTTCTGGTGCTATTTCCTCAGCTTGGCCTGAGCCACCGGTGGCAGTATCCCATTGAAGCGGGTGTTACTTTTGTAGTCTTGTGGGAGATGTAAGGGCCCCTCAGTCTGCTGTTTGCGGTGCAGCTCTGCATGGGTGCTGACCCCAGTTAGAGGGTTAGGAGGTGGAGGGGACTCCGTGGGAGCAGGACTCACTTTACTGGGTTCAGAGGAGCCGAAGATGGGCGTTTAGACAGCTGTGTTCTTGCTCCTAAGGGTGCAGGCCCCCTCTGCGGCGCCCCTCGGTCCCGGTTACAAGCGAGGTGGCGGCAGGCGTGTCCCCTAGAGGTGCTCGGCCGGGGGTGAGGTTTGTGGGGGTGCCCAGTCCCGGGGCGGGCGGGGAGCCGCAGACACGTGATGGGGGGGCTCACTTCGAAGCCCGAGGCCTCTGGGTGGGGGGTGCCCTTTGCCCACCCCCCTGGCGCTGCTCTCGTGGGGGGCATTTCCGGGCTCTCAGGGACCCGCCCCCCGCTCGTGGGCAGGGGGCCGGGCCGGCTCCAGTGCCGCGGGGCTGCGTGCGGGGAGCGGGCCGGTCACCGCTCGGGAGCGGCGGCTCCGTGCAGACGCTCGCTGGGTGGGGCGGGTTCCCAGCCCGGCAGCGGCGCCGGGCCGGCAGCGAGCAGCCACCCTCGCCTTCGGGCCCGGCCGGGCCGTGTGGAGAGCGGGAGCGGCAGGAGGAGACTCGCCCCACATAACCCCGTTTTGCACCAGTCCCGCAAACGGCCTCTCGGAGGGGGCGGGGCTAAGGGGACACCGCAGGAGTGACAGGGAGAAGCGTCCAATCGGTTTCCTCGCCCCGCCTCATTGGCCTCCTCCCCGCTTCTGGTGGCGGCCGGAGCCTATGGGCGCCGCGCGAGGGCGCGGCCAAACGCTTGACGTGATGGCTGCGGACCAATAGGGTAGGAGAGGTGAGGCAGCCCTTGCCCCCCCACTGCTGGGGCCGCAGCCAATAAGACGCGCCGGGGGAGGCGAGCTGGGGTTCCGTGTGGAAAGAATAGGGGGCTCGGGTGCAAAGTTTCGTTTCAAACCGTCTGCAAAGAGCGGCTGAGGAGGGGGAGCTGGAGAGCGACGGGCCGCCGCAGCGGACCGACCGCGCCCGTCCCGCGCCCCGCTCAGCCCGGCTCGCGCTGCCGCCCCCCCCCCCCGCCTTTCATTCGCGGCAGTTGTTGCCCCGCCAGGTGAGTGCGGAGCTCGCAGCCGCCCCGTCCCCGCGCTGCGCCCCGCCGCCCTCCCGTGGGGTCACCCCGCCGCCGGCAGCGCCGAGTCCCGGTCACCCCCCGTCAGGGCGGCCAGCCTCCCCTCCCCGCTGGGTGCCGCTCCCCGCCGGGGCGGAACGCGAGGATGGCGGACAACGGGACGGGCGAGCCCCGGCAGCCCCGCTACCGCCGGGTGCGGCTGATGTGCATGCTGGCGCTCACCTTCCTCTTCTTCGTGGTGGAGGTGGTGGTGAGCCGGGTCACCGCCTCGCTGGCCATGCTCTCGGACTCCTTCCACATGCTGTCCGACGTCATGGCCCTGGTGGTGGCCCTGGTGGCCGTGCGCTTCGCCCAGCGCACCCGCGCCACCCACAAGAACACCTTCGGCTGGGTGCGGGCTGAGGTGATGGGCGCCTTGGTCAACGCGGTCTTCCTCACCGCCCTCTGCTTCACCATCCTGCTGGAGGCCATCGAGCGCTTCACCGAGCCCCACGAGATCCAGCAGCCGCTCGTGGTGATTGGCGTGGGCGCTGCGGGGCTCCTCGTCAACCTGCTGGGGCTCTGCCTCTTCCACCAGCATGGAGGTGGGGGGCACGGGCACTCGCACGGCGGGAGCCAGCACCACCGCAGCGGCAGCCGCACCAAATTGGAGCGGTCTTCGGGGGACGGTGATGCTGTGCTGCGCAAGGAGGAGACCAACACGCTGGTGGAGAATTGCAGCAGCACCAATGGAGTCAACCAGGAGAAGCTAGGTAAGCAGTACTGCCCCCGGTAGGATCCCTCCCTTAGCCTGAGGTCTGAAGGGGGAAAATCTCTTTTAGCAAATTTAGGAAGGAGAGGGGCTGGTAGACACGCCTGTATCACATTGGGAGGTGGGTAGGGGAGAGGTCCACTTCCTCTTTCTCAGAGGAGATGAAGTAGGACAAAGTAAGGGAGATATGACTTTGTCAACTACCGTGGTAGAGGGGTAATGACATCCTGTACTACACAGTGGATTTTGGAGGCCACCTGCATGCTGGTGGAAGAAAAGTAAGAGACTCCCTCATTAGGTAGTAGTTTATGTAGTAGTATCTTGGTGACAGTTGCTGTTCCTATATTAGCTAGTCAAAGGATCCACAGGTACTCAGTACACTCATGCACCCTTCTTCTCCGACAACTTCCTTTCTGCATTGTGCCCTTGTTTAGCAATCCAGCAGACTTCGGTGTGGGTTGGGGGGAAATGCTTCTCTACCAGACACCTGTCAGGTAAACAGTGAATTACTTTACATATTCTTGTTCTCTAAGTGTTTAGCATAACATAAACTCAATCCGCTAATCATTGTGTAGTTGGGCTGTATGCTGGTTTTTAAAAGATGTGCTTTATGACAATATAGGAAGGTTGCTCTAGTACCTTAAGCATTAACTTGACCACTTAATAAGCCTTAGTGTTATTTCACTTCCTAGGTAAGTATCCTAGTTTCAACATATAGTAACCCACTGAGTTAGAGCAACAAGGTTGGTAAGGTAATATCTTTTTATTGGGCCAACTTCCGTTGGTTTGAGAGACAAGCTTACACAGAGGTATTCTGTTTCCCAGACCTGAAGTACAGCTCTGTGTAAGCTCGAAAGCTTGTCTCTTTGACCATCAGAAGTTGGTCCAATAAAGATATTACCTCACCCACCTCGTCTCTGTAAAATCCTTAGGCAGTTACAGTTAAGCATATCTGTGACAGAACCTCATTAGAATATTGTAGTTTATAAAGTTGAAATGCTTGGAAATCAGAAAATGCAGAGTTAAATTTCCATGAAAAATACTAGTTCTTTCTTGTCATACCTGAACACCGTATACCTCAGAAATTTGTAGTATCCACTATATGCCTGTTATACTGTCATAGGTCTCTTCTACACTAGAAAACATTATATAAATAGTGGGGTTAAGCATGACCACCTGATAAACTTAAAATATGATAGCCCTTGTCTATGCTGAGTACTAACATATGTCTCACATTGTGTTAGTTAACATGTGTTTTAACACTGTCATATCCTAGTGCAGACAAGCACTAACAATCTACATTCTAATGTCCTAACCAATTACCTTCTATGTATGAGCCATCTGTCTATCTCTTCATCTAGTTCTTCTATGACCCCCATTTTCTGAGTACCTTCCAAAATTGTAAAAATGTACATATGGGTATATTTCTCTCCCTTCTGATCAGCAGTGACCACTAGACTTTCATAGTTATTGTGGAAGTGGTAGACTGGCTATCTTGCTTTTTGTGCATTTTGCTCTGAAAGTAGTGAAGTTTCTAGTCACTTCACTCAGTTGAACCTCTTTGAATAAACTACAACATCTTTTCTCTTACCTGGCCCTTCCTTATCCTACTATAGAAAGCACAACAGTTTCACAGCTTACTTTGTACAGATAATCAATAAACTCTTCTCTATCCACTATTCTGCTATAAGCTACAAGGACACAAATTGAATTGCTGGGCTATAACTGTAGGTGAATTGTGCAGTGGTAGAGGATTTAAAAAACAAAAACCTAAGTGAAGTCACTTTGCTACAGTAAATACTGTAGCAATGTGGTTTCTAAACTTATTGTGAGTTCATACTATGATATAGTAAAATGTTTATAGTATCTGATATTGTGATGTAGCATGTAACCGTTTCACTGTTTTCTTTGCAGGTGATGGCAAGGCGGAACTACAAGCAAATGGGAGTATTGGTCCTAACTCTCTGGACATTGAGGTTGAAGAAGACTCCAGTGGACAGCTTAACATGCGTGGTGTTTTTCTGCATGTGCTTGGAGATGCCTTGGGTTCAGTGATTGTGGTCGTGAATGCCTCGGTCTTTTACTTTTATTGGAACCCATGCCCCAAAGATGGGCCCTGTTTAAATCCATGTGTCAATAGCCATTGCGTAGAAAATGCTACTGTAGCCCCACCGCTTGACAGTGCTGCTCTACTCATACAAGAGGGTATTCATGTAGCTGGTCCCTGCTGGGTGCTGTATTTAGATCCCGCTCTTTGTCTGATAATGGTTTGTATACTCCTTTACACAACTTATCCATTACTTAAGGAATCTGCCCTTATCCTTTTGCAAACTGTTCCCAAACAAATTGATATTTATTCTTTGAACTTGAAACTACGTAAACTTGAAGGAGTTGAAGCAGTCCATGAACTACATGTTTGGCAGCTGGCAGGCAGCAGGATCATTGGTACTGCTCACATAAAATGTCATGACCCTGCATCATACATGAAAGTGGCAAAGCACATTAAAGAGATTTTTCATGATGAAGGGATCCATGCCACTACAATTCAGCCTGAGTTTTCCAGTGTAGGCTCTGAATCAGGTGTTGGCAAATGTGAGTTTCCCTGCAGAACTCAGTGTGCTCTGAAGCAGTGTTGTGGGACAGCAGAAGGCAGTACTGAAAAGAAGACAGCAAAGACCTCTTCAATTGCTATTTCATGCTCAGAAATAATCATTGACTCTCCACATCACAAAACTAGGAGGACTAAATCGGAAAGTATACCTGCTGTTAGGCTAGAGGCAGACGATGACGCAGACACACAATTTGAATCATCTTTGTAATCTCCAGGGTTGTGCGGTTTGAGTTTTGATGGCTTCAACTACAGCTTTATTGTGAGAAGAAGGGACTGATATTTGAGATGCAAGTTTGTCAAGCAATGTAATTGCTGAAGTCCCTGTTCTTGTCACATTGCTAAATCTAGAATGCTTGTTTTAAAGAACATAATAGCATTGTCATGACACAATGTGTTCGTGTTGACTTTGTAATGAGCGGCACTGAAAGAGTGCTAATGCTGTAAACAAAAAATTAAAATATTTTCTCCCCTGAAAAGCTACTTGAGGGATAAGTAAATCGGAACTCAGTTTGTGTTAGACTTTTCATTGGGGCTACTCTTTCCCTTAATATTTGATTTGTAGATATTTTAATATATTGTTTGTAACCCACATGAAAGCCAAAGTTCATAGAATGTTTTTATTGATATAACAACATCAAACTAGAAACGACTTTGTCAGTTTCACACATTTTCCATAAACTTATACAGTGAACTATTGTGAGTGGGTTGTTTTTTGTGTGTGTGTGTGTGTGTGTATGTGTGTGGATTTATTGCATAGCATAAATAGTAGCATATTTTAAAGGAAACATATCACGTGATTGATAGAAAACTGTCCAATTTTTTTCCCCAGTGGGACTATGGGGTAATTAAAATTGGCTGTAAAAATATCAGTTGTGAAAGTTATGTTCTGTTAAAATGTAAGTTCAACCTGCTGTATACTCCTCTGGTCAGACTGAGAGATGAAGTGACTGATAAAGTAATTAATTGTTGGCTAATTCATAAAATATGCATTCAGTGTTCTTCCTTCTTCACAAGTTCAGTTGCACTCTTGATTTCATTAGATCATTGTATAAATGTAAGAATTTGCCAGAACCTTTAAGTTCCAGTGCTGTAACATTGGAATTGAAGCTTTTATTTAAAGGAGTCGGTATTTATCCTAGTAATGCCAACCAGCACTGTTAAAGTGGAGCGTCTGTCAACATTGGCATTATATTTCCTGGGTTTCAAGGGTTTAAATGATAACTACAGTAAAAATTCACTTGGATGAAATTTTGCTGATAGTCTCAATGCAGCAGTAAGTACTTTTTACGGTAAGTGAAATCCTGGCCCCTTTGAAGACAGTTGAAACTTTGTCATTGACATAAGTGGGGCCAGGATTTCATCCAATATATTTTACCCTTTTTAAAGTAATGTGTGTCAAAGAATTTTACTTATTGAATTTGTAAATATTCAGTTTAAAAATGTTTAACTCAACTAAATGATAGACTAGCTCTGAAGAAGCTGTTACAGTGTGCCATCAACTCATACTTTCTCAAGAATTGGGTTATTGACTCTTTGAGTCAGTGGGGTATTGGGGAGAACAGAAGGCAATATAAAAGGGGACACTAAGGGACTTTGGGCACATGCTGAGAGTCGTGTTCCAGGTCAAAATGTACCCTTAAATCCACCTTTGGAGTTACATATGTACAATGAGAAACAATGATTAGTAATTAAGCACAGGACTGAGAGTTGGAAGGACTGAGTTCTTTTCCCAGCTCTGTCACTTACATTGTGTGACTTTGGGCTAGTCGCTTAACCTCTCTCTGCCTCATTTTACCTATTTGTAAAATGCAGATCATACCTACCTCATGGGGTATTGTGAGGCTTAATACATTAGTTTCTAAAGACCTTTGAGATCTTCTGATGGAAGGCACTATAGAAGTGCAAAGTTGTTTTGTTGCTTGTTTTCCAACAGTGGCTCCTTTTACATATGTGCTGCAATAGCCAGGCACAACAGGTTAATTTAAGGACCGTTTTGGCCTTATTTATGGATTTACTGCATACTGTGTTTGTAAGGCCTTAAACAGTATTTACATTAATATATTTTATATTAAAAGTGTTTTGGTTAGTGAAGGAAATGTAGGTTCTCCCCCCCCACCCTTTGACTATAGAGCTCCTCACTAATTTGCACGTCTCTAATGTTCCGTATAATAGTCACTCATAAGTGGTGCCCTTCCAGAGGGAGACTGGGCCTGTTTGTGACAGTGGGCTTACTCAGCTTCTCAGCAAAGTACTATAATGAGGTTTTACATTAAGATTGTTTGTTAGTAAATATATGGTAGTATATTTTGCAAATGTGCAATGAAGCATTGTCAAATTGCACCTCTGACATGAACAAAGTGCACTTGAAATATGTATCCTTGCTTTTTTTTACTGTAATCTGTTTGACTAGTATGCTTAATAGTTTGTATTTGGTCTCCCAGTCACTAGTGGGAATTGGCAAGGTGCTGCTGTATAACTACCTAACAAAATATAAAACAGTTTATTGCCAAAAATATAGTATTACTGAAAGTCATGACTATTTGTTTTCCTTTCTCTTTTATAGAGAGGCTACTAGTCCTGACATGGTTGTCCTCTTTAGGTAACAGTCACAGATAAATACATTTGAGTAGGTCTAGAAATCTAGACACTACTTCCATTGTAAATGCTTAATCTGTTTGTGCCAGAAGTCATATTTTTCTAGGGCTGTAGCCATTGCCTGCAATGGACACATCATTAAATAAAAAGAAAAAACTTTTTCCCCCCGCCACCCCCTGGACTTGAGTACAGTATATATTCCGTTTTAGGTCCAAGGTGGGAGTTGTACAGCAATTGGAGTATGATTTGTACATTCATGTTGCTGTAATGAGCCCAAACTATATCCTGGTAACTTGCAATACATCTCAATCTTTTAATCTGATTTATACAGACTTGATTTAATTCTGAAGACCATAATTCCAGAATAGTGGTAGCTTTCTTGAATTACTGCATAAATCATTTTTTAAAGCATGAAATTAGTGACTCTCCTATGAGTAAGCAGTTTACCAGGTGGGACAGGAAAGCAGCTAATTGTCTGTATTGTGCATTCCTGATTTTTTTTTATTTATTTTTTTTGGGGGGGGGTTAATAAAAACACAGAACACTGAATTTTAGGAAAAAGGAAACTGATACTTCAGTGTCTGTTTTTGTTTATGCTTCCCATGAAATTTTTCAGAAATATATCCAATGTTACTTGGTAGAGTATCTTACATCTGGTAAAAAGTTTCATTCATAAATATACTTATTTTAGAGTCAACTTCCTAGAGGTGTGTAGTAAACAAATAGAAGTAGATCAAAATTTGAGGCAGCTTGAGGAAAACTATGTAAGGGCTTGATACTGCAAACATTTATATTCATGAGTAGTCCTGTTTGAACTCAGCGTACTGAAATATGCAATAGGGGCTATGGCTTTTCAAAAGAAGCCTCAAAAGTTAGGTGCTGATTTTTAGTGATAATTATTTTTAAATCCGTATAAAATGAAATGGGTAATACTATAGGGTTTTCCCCATCAAAATTATGTTGCATAAGTAGTACTGGCTTGTAACTGAACTTTTAACTCTGTCTGACTTTTTTCAAAGGCGTTGAGCACCAATGCTCTTGTTGACTTCAGTTGGAACTGGTATTGCTTAGCACCTCTGAAAAGCAGGCAATCAAGTAACTCAGTGGGTAGTTAAGAGGGAAACAAAATTTCTTTCTAGAATGCACATTCTAACCTATTCTGCTATAGAGAACTGTTTTTCTGAATTTTTATATCTAGACCTTCTGATTTTTCGTGTGATGGGAGTGAGAAATGCTCTATTTAAGGGTATTTAAAACAGCATATTAGAACATATTGGATTTATTTCATAACACACCATCAGTTATTTAGCCTTCTTAGAATTCTGATTTTATGTTGCTTACTCAGTTCTGTGATGTTTGATTTGGCCTTGTACTTGAACCTTTTATTTCTCTCATGGATGGAAAGGAGGGGATTCTTCGTGTGCCTGAATTGAGACAGTCCTAAAAGCTTTCTAAGCCTGATGCAGCCTTACTGATAACAGGAGGTCTGATTCTTCTTTTGTGAAATTAATTGCCTATATGGGATACTGTGTAAATGTGAGCCTGATATCTTTTCGATTCGTATATCTGAGTATTCGTTTAAAAAAAATGCAACACAACACCTTTAGGCTATATTTCCCAAAGCATGTGGGTTTAGTTAGGATTCTTTTCTCACACCATGAGTTTAATTTTATAACCACTGTTGAGGGGACCTAGTTGACACGTTTGTACCTATTGTCTAGACTTCATCAATGAAAAATTGGGCTTGGCTTCTATTAAATCAACGTTCAAAGAAACAGCATATTGTAAAATAGTAAAGTCCTGTGACAAAATGTAGCTATCTAATGAGAAGCACTTAACTAATCTTGCTGTTCTGCTTACAAGTTCAGCTGTTTGACCAATAGCAGTATACTTTTACATGCATTCAGTCCTTTTTAAAAATAGGAACATTGTAAATAGAAACAAAGTTGGGAAGTGAGTTGTAAAATCAAATTATCATACCTCCTGTCATGGTTTCTGGTGCAAATATATGAATACTTACTGAGTTTGTGTCATCACAATAAAGCAACTTTCAACATTTTTTTAAGAGGTAGTCAATGTTTGAATAAATCTTTGAATATCAAAATCTCCCCACATCGCTGCATAACAGTAGTTAAACTTTTAACACATAGGTCTCTGTCAAATTTAAGGTAGGTTTGCTAAATCTATGACATATACACTTTTCACTTTGTTTTTAGAGTTTGTAGACTTTAGCTACTTTAGCGCACAGAACACTGTTGTGTTCTATAGTTTAAATTTTCAATCCAAAAACATTGCAGTCCTAAGGAGTTGTTGCAAGAAAAGGGACTGCAGCAAAATAGATGTAGTTTTCATTAATAAGTCATAGGACAAGAATGCTCTTAAGTTCTATCTTGAAGAGCACACTGACATGCATCAGTGTGTTCTTCATTAATCCCTTATTTTATGTAACTTTAGTGTTTGCCTGGGGAAAAAGTGATGCAGTTTTATGCGGTTGTCATCTCCCTAACTGCAGAGCTGTATGTTTGGGTTCTTTTACTTTAAAACATTGTAATGTCTATGAATATATGTAATAATGTACATTTTTACAAAGCTGTTTCTACCTCAGTATGAGGCTTTGTGAACCGTTCATGTATTATAAATGTTCTATAAGACATGCTATTGTGTTTATTTTTTTTATAAAGTTCAGTGGGTGGTGGGAAGCCGTGAATAACTTTATAGTCCTGTGGGTGTGGTTCTTTCATCCATGCAAATCCCGGGTTGTGACCACCTAACCTAAGCAGGCTTTGAGCCTGGTTCCCATTTAGATGGGAGACCTCTGGAGAAAATCCTTATGCTGCCAGAAGTGGTGGTGATTGTAGATTAAGTGGCATTTGCATGTGCATTAGTATTGTGCCAATGCCCTGCCATGGTGATAGGGAACACAGTGCCGTTGTGAAGGTACAAGAGCCCTTGACCTCTTCAGTTCATGTTTTTTTTAAAAAAAAAACTTTATAGTAAATAC